TTGAGTATTCGGGAAATTGGACATTCGGGAAAGTGGACTGGACGAGTGCGACGACTGGCCGGGGCGCTGTAAAAAACAAGTGTGGAATTTTTCGTGTCCACTCTTGTGCAGAGTAGTAGTCTCCACACGTTTTGGACCTCTACGCTCGGTTTGACAGTGGACACAGACCGGGCGGGGCGGGCGGCCGCGCGTGCTTTGAGCTCCACGCTCCTGGAATCAAACACAGGACGGCAGAAGCGTGCGCTAGCGTGTCGAGTGTGCGTCCGCGTAGCTTTTCTGGACCGCTGCGCGCACCATGGCACCGCCCGGCACCGCCCTGCCCGCTCGCACGAGTCAGCGCCGCCTTTGTTCACTCCAAACAGTGCTCTGTCTCTCTCGCACCCGCACGCGTGCGGCGCAGGCCCCACGAGTGGGAGAGAGACAGCGCGCGGCCTGCAGGGCGCCCAACAATGCGCTCGCTTTGCATGCTTTGCATGTAATCAATAAAAGGACGGAGCCGTTCAGGTCCGCCACTCCGCGGCTCCCTCGTGTGGTGCCCTTCGCCGCTCTGTCTCTCTCGCACTCATGGGGCGCCCCGTGCGGTGCGAGAGAGACAGAGCGACGGAACCTCCCTTTGGAATCAGACCGCGGGTACACTAGAAATCTGGGCTCGTCTCACATGAAGTGAACGGGTTCCACGTCCGCAGGTGCCTCGTGTGCTTGGTGCTGGTCCTGCAGACTGATTCCGAGAGTCGTTTTCGTCGCTCTGCCTCTCTCGCACTCATGGGCCGTTCTGCATTGCAGAGGTACTAGAGAGGCAGAGCGACGAATATGACTCTCGGAATCAGTCTGCTGGAGGACTCTTTGAGGAGCACGGGACTCGAAACAGTGCCACTGCTCCACACACTGGCGCACAATGGTCCAGAAGACCGGTGGAAGTGGTCAAAATCCCGGACGCGTTTTGAGCTCCGGAGTCGCTAAATAGGACTCGAAACGAACGTATGTGACCCCACCAATGGATTGCTCTCCAAACGAGGAATCCCTAGATGGGATCACACGTTCGGTTCGAGTCCCATTTAGTGACTTTGGAGCTCAAAACACGCCTAGAGTTTAGTCCGCCTCCGCCCGGTCTGGCCGACTGCGGCGCGTGGCGCGGCACTGCTTCCCGGCAACGGGCCGCTCGGCACGGCGCGCACCTCATAATTAACAGCGTGGAGGTAACGCGACGAGGGTCGCGCCACCGATTACGGGGCGCCAAATATTTATACCCCCGGCGTCGTGTCCTCGGCCCGCCTCGGCCCGCGCACGCCAAGTTTGGCGCCCTGATATTTATGCAAATCGACTATTGTTTCAAGGAAGACACCCCCCGGCCGGGCGCGCCTCCCTGAAGATTAGTGAGTGTCGGCGGCGAACAGAAGGCGCTTTCATTATCCCGCTTTTCTTTGGCGCCGCACTGTAAGCCTAATTTAGCGCCCTTCTTGCGGCGGGCTCGCGCGCCGCGTCCTCGCCGTCCTCGCCGTCCTCGCTGCGTCGTCGCCGTCCTCACTGTATCGCCAAGTCCTCGCCATCCTCGCCGCGGCATCACCGCGTCCTCGCCTCTGTCCTCCATCGGCCCCATTTCTGCCGGGCTGGAGGGCCAATTAATATCTCCAGCTGCATTAGCGTGTTTTTATTTTCCCTGTTGTCCCGGCACCCCGCCGTGCCGCGCCACGCCCTGCCTATCGGGCGATAATTATTGTCGTGTCGCGCGGCGTTCTTCGCCAGCCTAACGAGGACCAAATTACCAGACCGCAATGTTGTCGTTATTATTTTCTTCCTTTTTATTCGGTTTTTGTTATCGTTTCGCCTGGAGCGTGTTTGGCGAGGAGGGATATTTATCGGTCCGCTAGTCGCCACTCTCTCTCCCTCTCCCTCTCGCGGGGGACGAGAATTTCGCTTCGTCAGGTTTGGAATAACGGCGACATATCGCGCCCCGTGTCGCCCCCTGATGTACGGACCGCCCCGCCCCGCCCCGCCCCGCCCCGCCCCGCGATCTGTCAATAAAATTGATAGCGGCGCCCGGCGAAGCAGGCGAAGCACAATCGGGGAAAAGGTGACAATGATGCCTGCGAGACAGGCCCGTCGTGTCCCCCTTGGTGTCGCGGGGGATTTTGTTTCGGATTGGCGCCAGCGAGGCCGGGCTATTACCGGAGCCAGCCTCCGTCTCTGTCTCTCGCACTGCTGCGAGGCGTTTTGTGCAGAATGCGAGAGAGACAGATCGACTGTCGGCGGAGGGCGTGGTGGGCTGATATCGGCTGATGCGGCGCCGCAGCCAATCCTTTTTGTTTTTGTTGTTTTTGACGTCGTTTCGCTCGGCAGCCACGCGTCGCCCCGCCACACCTTTTGCCTGGGGTGCGCCGGGCCGTCTGGACGGCGGTCTGGGCGCCCTGGGCGCCCTGCAGACTGTCTGGGAGTCCTTTCCGTCGCTCGGTCTCTCTCGCACCCACACGGAACCCCCATGAGTGCGAGAGAGACAGAGCGACGAAAACAACTCCCGTAGTCAGTCCGCTGTCCTCTGCCGGAGGGCCAGCGGAGCACCCTCGTCCTCGTTCCAGTGGCACTCGCTGTGTTTACACTGAGTACCGCGTACCGTACCGGCTCGCCCGGGGGTCGTTTACAGAGTGTCTGCCTGCAGTGCCGGGCCTGCCGGGCCGGCTGGACGGAGAGGACAGAGAGACGGACAGAGAGGCGCTAACACAACACTGCACTGCTGCGTCGTCAGCTCATTTCCGCCGGCAATCGGAGTGAGGCGCCGCTGGGGCGACGACGGTCTCTCTCGCACTCGTGGGGCGTCTCGCGTGGGTGCGAGAGAGACGGAGCGAAGGGCGAGGGCCATGGAGTGGGCCATGGAGTGGGCCATGGAGTGGCAGCGGATCGCAGAAGGGCGTAGGGGCCGAAGGGCATCACATGGCGTCCATGCACACATGGCAGCGTCTTTACGACCCCTTGACGCCACGCCGCCACGCCGCCTGCACACTGGCAGTCGTGTTCGTAGCTCTGTCTCTCTCGCTCTCATGGGGCGTCCCGTTGAGGCGCGAGAGAGACAGAGCGGCAACACGACTCTAGGAGTCATTCAGTCCACTGCACTGGCGTCGCGGTGCTGCTGCAGGCCGCAAAAGGCGTCGAGGAAAAAGGAATGTTATTCCCCGAAACGTGGCTTCTCAGACGCAACGATGCGGCCTTCGTTTCGAATTTTAGAAGCGCCAATCTTTTCCTATGCAGTGCCATCCAGTATTGGGCAACCAATCTATCAGTGTCCGCGTGGCTCAGAGAACCGAGGTGTTGGCCACTGCTCGTACGTCGTGGGTTCAACTCCCAGACAGCAAAATTTTCTTCACTTCATCGACCACTGCCAGTACCACCAATAGACGTTTGCGGCGGATTATGCTGAATAGTCTGAGTGTCTGAGTGGGTTGAGGTGTCTGCTGCCACCGGAAACATCTGGGTTCGATTCCCAGCCAATTCAATATTTTCTTCGCCAACGAGAAATTTCTTTTTGTTGAAATGTCTCTCTATCTCTTTGCAAGACGGCTGCTGCTGCGACTGTGAACCCTTCGGGAGCCCCCCCCCCCCTTTCACCCCGCTTGTGGCCACCCCGCGCCCTACCTACAGGCCGTGTCGACCCGCGTAAGGGAACAAAAGGATGACGGACAGACCAAAGTCGGCGAAGCCAATGCTTTTCTCTTTGCCACCCACTACAGAGCTACGTTCCGTTCGGCGGGGCGTGTGCGTGTGTGTGTGTGCGCGCGCATGTGTCTGTGTGTGTGTTCGCCCCCTCTCCTAATGGTGGAGGAAAAGGCTTTTCCTGCCTGCACCCATACACACACACGCACACACACGCACCTCTTTGGCGCCTTATCGGCTTGGAGGCGGCACGGCGCGCGAAAGAGCCTGGATCTCGCACAAAAGCACTGGAGGTCGATGTGCCCGTGGCGTGGCTGGCGTGGATGGCGTCGCGTGCACCGAGACAGAGGTGCGCAAGGCGCGCAAGGCCTCTTGCTGTCCTGCGTCTCTCTCGCACTCGTGGGGCGTTCCGCAGAGAGAGACAGGGTGACATTTTTTGCGGCTCCCCTACGAAGTCGTCTTCAAGCCCCCACCCACGGCTGATTTCCTCATCCCGGTGCCGATTTCCTCGTCCCGATTCCGGTTTCCACCGTCGAAGCGACGCACGCTCAGCGCCAAGGAGTCCCTCTTTACAATCATCTTCGTCGCTCTCTCTCTCTCTCTCTCTCTCTCTCTCTCTCTCTCTCTCTCTCTCTCTCTCTCTCTCTCTCTCTCTCTCTCTCTCCCGCGCAGCGCAAACAGTGCGGAAAGTGGTCCGGATATTAAACGTGTTCGCAGGGATCAGCCCGCACAGTGTGTGCACCCGGCCCGGACCTGGGATTCCGGGATCCAGGGATGGGCTGCGTCCGCCTGCGTCGCTGACCGCGCCAAAACGGTCCGCATTTTCCCCTTTTCAATAACTGCCCCCCTCGGCGGCGGTGGGCCGCGCCGTCTAGTCCGAACCCTTCCCGGCCCATCTCCCCATTCGGAGCCAATCCCTCACGACCCTTTTCTCCGGTCGCCAGCGGGCCCGCTGGTTGCCGGTGCTTTGCATTCTATCATCCCATCTCTCTCTCTCTCTCTCTCTCTCTCTCTCTCTCTCTCTCTCTCTCTCTCTCTCTCTCTCTCTCTCTCTCTCTCTCTCTCTCTCTGTTGCCGTCGATCGTCGCCGTGTCCGTCACGACCCGACGCGGGAATTTCATTCTTGCCGCGGCTCGCCACGGCCCGGCGGGCCATCACAATCGGGATGAGTGCCGTGAGTCATGGGCCCTCGGAGTGTCTCCTCCTCTCTCTCTCTCTCTCTCTCTCTCTCTCTCTCTCTCTCTCTCTCTCTCCCTCTCTCTCTCTCTCTCTCTCTCTTTCCCGTCCCTTCCGCCCCCGCGATGTTATTTCCCTTTCTCGTCCGCGCTAAACGACGCCTTCTTCGTCTCTGTCCGCAGATTGCCTCCACCTGCAGCTGTACCGCGACAGCAAGGACCGCTGCAAGCTGGGCCACACCAAGGCCTCGCTGTCCCTGCAGCACTTCCTGGGCGTCGAGACGGGTGAGTACGAACCATGCCTGTCTCTCTCGCACCCCTGCGGGACGCTCCGCGAGTGCGAGAGAGACAGAGCGGCCTCAGCCTGGCCGATGCCTGCCCGCGCGACACGGTCGTCCGCCGCGTGGCCCACCGCCACGGCGCCATGGCGCCCGACGCTCCTCGCAGTTAAACCAATTTCGCGTCTTTTTCTTTCTCTCTCGCTCTCCCCCAATTGGGGCCACGCCGCGCCGCCGCCTGACGGGCTGCCTAAACGGCGCAGGCGTGGCGGCCGTTCTGCGGGGCCCCGCCCGGCCCCGCCCGGCGGGCCGAGAGACAGATGTCCGAGCCGCGCGCCCGGACGACGCGGACGTGCATGACGTGGACGTGGACGACGCGCGGTGGGCCAGAATTCTAGACGCGTTTGGAGCTCCAGAGTCGGTAAATGGGACTCGAACACATCGTGTGACCCCGCACCAATAGATTCCTCGTTCGGAGAGCAATCCATTGGTGGGGTCACGCGTTCGCTTCGACTTTTATTACCGACTCTGGAGCTCCAAATGCCTTTAAAATTTTGGCCGCCTCCACCGGTCTTCTAGCCCACTGCGCGACGTGATCGCGGAGGACGTCAACGTGGACGACGTGGACGCGGATGACAGTGACGGCCGAAGACCGCCTCGGCAACCGCAAAAAAGCCGTTTCTCCGCACTTGTTGGTCGCTGCCGGCCGGCCTATTCGATACCTCGAACCAATCTCGAATCAATCTCGCGCTGTGACTCGGCCATTGATAGTCAGACGGCGTTTTGACGCGACGGTGCTTGTGTTGCAGGGTTCACTCTGGACAAGGAGTCCAACACGATAGCCATCTTATGTCAAGACGTCACCGTCATCCTTGCCTTCGACACGCGGGAAAGACTGATTCAGTGGCAAGTCAAGATTGCCAACAACCTCGGCGAAGGTGAGTGTTCTGTTGGCTTGTCTAGTCCGTTCGTTCGACTGGCGTCTGACCGCGATCCGTTTGCTTTGGTCGGCCCCGCAGACCAGCAGTTCCTGATCCAAATCTCGTCGGCGCCGCCCAAGTCCAAGATGCAGCCGGGGCCGGCCAGGCTGCACGTCCAGGAGCTGCGCTTCTGCCTCACCAGTGGCGTGCCGCCCAAGCTGCACGGCTGCTGGGAGATCGCGCACCTCAGGTGAGTCAGCGCCACTGCAAAATGCGGAGCGTGTGGGATTAGCAATGTCCGCAATTTGCTGTCGCCACACTTCGGAGGTGTGGACTTCTGAACGTTTGCCCCTTGCCAAGAGAGAGAGAGGCTCAGTGAGCTACTCCTCGCGTGAAGTGTGGAGGGAGTTCTCCATACTCGCTTTGACAGTGTGCCACACCGCCTCCGACACCTCCTGGCACCTGGCCGCCTCCGACTCGCAGCCAGGAGGCGCGCGGTTAGTTTTCGGCCGCCGAGTCTCCTCCATCCAGGCAGGGCGTTTTAATGCAGTCAAGTTGTTATAATTCGGCGCGCGGCGTCGTCGCCCGCCTCGCCTGTTTAGAAATGGAAATGCCAGTGTTTTAATTAAAGGGCGTATCCGCGCGACTGGGCCACCGTGCGGGGCGGGCTGAGTGAGGCTGCGCGGACCCAAAGCCCGAAGGGGCGAATGGGCGAGCCGAAGGAAGGCAAGGCGATAGTAAGTAATAGGCAAGGTGAGGTAGGAAAGACAACAGGCAGAATGCATGAGGCCCTATTGTAAAAGGCAAACCGTGATAGGCTAACCGGAAACCGTGGCAGGCAAACCGCATTTGGCAGTAAGACGAGAGGCAGGCCCGGACAGGCTGCCCAGCGAGACCGTCCCTGCGGGGCGACGGAGGGGGTGGGCTGCGTTACAACGTCGCAGAATTCGTTTGCATTCGCTTGGGTGAGTCCGTCGTCGGCTGGCCGCGCGCTGCACCGCCATGCATATGCGGGCGGGGAGGGCCCTCGAGGGGAGGGCCTTAGAAAGAGAAAGAAAGAGAGAGACAGAGAGAGAGTAAGAGAGAGAGGGGGGAGCCGCCCGGGACCGACTGTGAGGCGCTCGGCCCTTGGACATGCGACAGCCCCTTGGACAGCCCTCTGCCCGCGATGCCTCCTCCTCAAAGTCAAGCAACGCGCATGGATTACAACAACGGAACAGTGGCCCAGCCGAACTCGGCCGACAGCGCCACCTGCCGTCGCCCTGCGTTCCAGCTCCCCCGCCAGAAAGGGCGGCGCGAGTCGATATCTCGAACGCAAACGACGCCCCCATCCCCGTTGTGGTCAAAGTAAAACGAAGCCAGGCCAAAGTGATGGGGCGGCCCGCACACCGCAATTTACGGTGGTGGCAAGACGCGGCCTCTCTCTCTCTCTCTCTCTCTCTCTCTCTCTCTCTCTCTCTCTCTCTCTCTCTCTCTCTCTCTCTCTCTCTCTCTCTCTCGCGACGCCGCGTGACCGCGAGAGAGAGAGGCAGAGCGACGAAACCACTTCCCGGAATCAGCCTGCTGGCACCGAGAGGCATCGCTTGCTCCTGCAGAGTGGTGGAAAGGGAAGGGACGCTTTCGCGTGGAAGCCGAAGCCAGCAGCAGGAGCCATCCTGGACCTGGAACGTCTCCAGCAGACTGATTCCGAGAGTCTCTCTCGCTCTCATGGCGCGCCCTGTACAGGTGCGGGAGAGACGGCGACGAAAACGACTCTCAGTCTGTAGCGCCACCGGGCTGCCGGGCGCGCTGATTGGTTCGTTAGGCCCAACACGTCGCAGACAGGCCGTTTGGGCGTCGGCCCCAAAGCGACGGCGGTGTCCGGGAGGGAGCACGTCCCCGTCAACGACAGCCCACATCGGGGAGTCGCTAAACAGACCTCGAACCGAACGTGTGACCTAACCAATGGGTCCCTCGTTCGGAGAGCAATCCATTGGTGGGGTCACACGTTCGGTTCGAGTCCCATTTAGCGACTGGAGCTCAAAACGCGTCTAAACTTTTGTCCGCCTCCACCGGTCTTCTGGTGCAACTGTGCGTTTAGAGCAGTAACTCGCGATAATTCGTCGAAGCGATCCACAGGAGTACCTCTCCGACGCGGCACTCGTGCAGGGATTCCTTGCCCGAGGCGCAACTCCCGCGGAACTGACAAAGCACATGGGGTGGCAACTTCCTGTGTACTCTGCGGCTTCCCGCTCGGTGTTCGGCATTACCACCGAGTCGAGTTTGAGAGCAGTTTGGCACCGATCCGCGCGAGGCCCTGCAGGGGCGAGGCGACGGGTGGGCCGTGCGCTGCGGCCCGCCGCGGGTGGAACTGCAGGCTGATTCGTCTCTCTCGCTCTCATGGGGCATGCCGAAAGAGAGTGAGGCAGACAGCAGTGCTCGGAGTCAGCCTGCTGTGAAACTAGTCCCCGCGGTGCAGCCCCGCCGCGCACCGCCCTGTGGAGCGCGTCCCGCTGCCCGCACTGCTCGCTCTCTCTCTCTCTGTCGCACACATAGGGCACGATCCAAGAGTGCGAGAGAGACAGAGCGAGCAGTGCAGGCTGCGTCCTGACGGTGTAGTGCGCCGTCCCGACCGGCGCCTCTGCCGATCGACTTGCTGGCCGGAAGCCGGCGCGGACTGGAGCCCAGACTGGAGCCTCCAGCCTGGAGGTCGAGGAAGGAGAGAGTTCCGGGGCGCCGCTCTGCCTCTCTGCACCGGGGGCCGCCGCCGGCCGGGCCTATCTGTTACCTGTCTGAGGCGCGCTGAGGCGGGGCGGGGCGGGGCGGGGCGGGGCGGGGCGGCATGGCGTGCCCCCCACATAAATCGGGGGTCGCGCCCCTCGCGCCTTGCAGCCTTTCGGCCGTCGGGGCAGCGACGCGCTCACACGGGCCGACCCCGGCCGACCGCGCCACTGTAGGAGGCCGGCCATACATAACTGGGGCTAATGCCTGTGTGCCAACCAGAGGGTTTGAACAGGGGGACGTGCCGAACAGGGACCACGGTTCCAAACACAGAACCACCCATGGAACCATTCCAAACGTCACTGCCCATTAGTTACGTCTCGGATGCTCAAAAGCCGAGTAAAAAGCTACCTATATTGGTATGTACATTGTGGAGACGCGACAGAGCTTTATTAGTTTTGAATCGGACGGGTAGCTTAGAAATAAACTGCGGTGATCCGTGATTGGAACAGTAGTTCATGATTGGTACGTTTACTCTGAGAGGCGAACAAGCATAATCCGCCCCCCCCCTCTCTCTCTCTCTCTCGCTCGCCCGCCGGGATTTAATGGCCTAGAAAACCAAAAGTAGTTCACGAATGTGTGTGCTGTGGTTGAGTACGTAAAGTAGTTTCGCGGTCCGGTCTAAAACTGCCCCGTGCTGGCCGTGCTTCGTGCTTCCCACCCTTGTCGTCGGCAGCGGCAGTGGCTCTCGTGCTCGCCGATGGGAACAAACACGGCCGAAGTTAGTGCCCCCCCCCCCCCCCCCCCCCCCCTTTCGCCGCCGGTGCGCGGCCGGCCGGCCCAACTCGGAACGGTTCCAACGGAGTGTGGCGCACCGTAAATTACCGGGCGGGCGACGGAGGACGCCGTCAAAGTCTGCGGAGGCTGCGCCAGGCTGCGCCGGTAACTGCCACCGTGCCGCCGCGGCGCGTCGGGGCGTCGCCAGCCGACGACCTGCAGACCGACCTCTGTCTCGGCTGCACTCATGGGGCGCCCCGTATTGGTGCGAGAGAGACGGAGCGACGGAAACGACTCTCGGAATCAGTCTGCTGGATGCCGTCGTCGCGGACTCCCCTCCGCGAGTCGGCGGGGTGTTGACGGAGTTACGCGTCGCGTCTGCCCCTCGTCTCGTCTGCTGCCTTCACGGCCGGCTTGCTCTCTGTCCGCAGGCGGTACGGCGTGGTGGACGGCAAGTTCTGCTTCGAGGGCGGCTCGCGCTGCAACAAGGGCGAGGGCCTGCACGTGCTGGTGACGGACCAGGCCGAGGACGTGGAGCGCGCCGTGCGGCTCGCCTCCCAGAGCAAGCTGTTCACGCGGCGCAGGAACACCGTGTCCAGGAACTCGTCCGGTGAGTACTCCTCTTCCAGGCCGCAGTCGCGGATCCATGGCCAGCCCCAGGGGGGCGGCAAACAGGCGCTTTTGCCTTCCTTTTGAAGCGCCAAGGGGGGCCTCACGGTGCACCTTCTTGCCCGCAGTGATGGAGAGCCCCAGCCGCAAGGCGTCGCAGAGCCGGTCGGGCGCGCTGAGCTGCGCCGACTCGGTGACGCTGGCCGGCGTGGACGGCGTGGACGGCGGCTGCTGCTGCTGCACCGAGGAGTGCTCGTGCCCGCAGGACGGGGACGAGTACCCCTACGCCTGCAGCCACCGCCACTCCCCCTTCTGGCCCTCCGCCGAGAGCTCGCGCGTCGGCGGCGACCTGGACAGCAACTACGGCTGCGGCGACACGACGTCGGTGCGCGAGATGCCCGACTCGGTGAGCCAGATCCACGGCGAGTCCTGGGGGCTGTCGCTGGACATGTCGCGCGGCAACCGCTCCGCCATGGAGCGCTGCACGTCGTGCTTCAGCAAGCTGGGCGCGCCGGCCATGTCGCGCTCCTCCACCTGCACGCCCGGCACGCCGCTGGCGCCCGCCTGGCCCGTGGAGCCCGCCGCCGCGGCCTGCTGCCACCACGGCCACCTCCACGCGCACCACAGCGCCACCACGCCGCGGCCCAAGACGGCCACCAGCAGCATCTGTGATCGAATGTCCATGAGCTCGCACGACAGCAGCGAGACCTCCGAGTACTCCGTGCCCAGGCTGTCCAGGCTGGCCGCCACGGCCTCGGCCTGCGGCTGCGTCAACGGGGAGTGCCAGTGCCCGCCCGTGCGGCCGCCCAAGCCGAGCCAGGACCAGACCTCGCCCTCCAAGAAGAAGCGGAAAGCGGTCATGCCGCTGCCCGACGACGCCAAGGACAAGGACTACGTGGTGCACGCCTGCCCCTGCCACAACCCGGCCCTGCGGCTGGACGGCCACGCCGCCGCCGCCGGCGTCGGCCCCTACGAGAACTACGACGTGCCGCGACCGCTCGCCGCCCACCTCAAGGAGTGCTCCAAGGCCCCGGCCGATGCGTCTCAGGTTCTGTCCCTGAGCAGCGCCTCCGGCCCCGACGAGTACTACGACACGCCCAAGAACATGAAGGAGGTCCTGGCCCGGGTGGAGGAGAACGTCGACCAGTACGGCAACTACGACACGCCACCGTCGGGTAAGGCGTTGCCCGCGCCCTGCGCCTTCATGCTCAAGTGCACCAAGAAGACCACGGTGGTGTCGCACGACGGCAGGACCGGCAAGACCATGCTGGAGAGCGAGCAGCTGGCGGTGCGGACGGGCGAGTGCCCGTGCCAACGCGTCGCGTGCTGGCCCAGCTCGCTGGCGTCCTACTGCCGCCGCGGCAACGGCGTGGACAACTCGGCCGTCGTCAAGGTGCGCCTCAGCGGCCAGGGCAAGATGCCCGTAGTGAACCAGCGCGGTGAGGTGGAGCTGTACGCCACCATCGACCGCTCCAAGAAGACCAACCGGCGGAAGAGCCTCAAGGAGGACGACGAGGGCGAGGCCGCGGCCGCGCCCTCCGACACGGCCAACTACGAGAACGTGGAGGTGATGCCGAAGGCCGAGGCCGAGGCGGGGGCCGTGACAGACGGACCCGCCGACTGCCCCAACTACGCCAACATCCACTTTGCGCAGTCGCTGGAGCTCTACGAGAACTCCCGGGACGTTCTCATGAAGGCGGGGATCACACCGCGCGAGGTGCAGGCCCTGGCGCAGCAGATGGCCGACTGCGGCAAGCTGTGCACCAAGTGCGGCCACTGCCAGCCCGGCAAGGAGGACGGCGACGAGCACGCCGTCAACGGCGCTGCCCCCACCAAGGGCAACTGCAACGGCTCCACCAACAGTAGGCCGCTGGACGACTACATGATGATGGAACCCCTTGCCACCGCCGCACCCACCCCCGCGCCAGCGGACACGGCGGCTCGGCCCGAGTGCAACCACTTCCCCGGCTACTTGCCCATGTCGCCGCTCTCGGGCGCCACCCAGCAGGCCCAGCAGGCCCAGCAGGCCCAGCAGGCCCAGCAGGCTCAGCAGGTCCAACAGGCTCCGCAGACCCAGCAGGCGGCCGGCGCCGCCGCCAAGTCCGACCTGATGCGCATGGCGCTGGACAGGATCAACGGCGGCGAGAAGTCGGCCAGCATGGCCAGCCTGAACGGGCAGCACAGCGTGTCCCCGGACCGCGCCAAGAAGCGCGTCGACTCGGAGTTCGTGCGCGTCCCCGGCTCGGCCATGCTCATGGGCAGCCCCCACCTGCGGCGCGTCGCCGACCTGGACCACGGCGACCAGGAGGGCCGGCGGCAGCTGGCGCTGGCGCGGCGCCGCTCCAACTCGGCGGACTCGTCGCGCTACCTGGACATCGAGGAGCAGGAGCAGGACAGCGTGTCGTCCAGCCGCGTCAGCTCCGTCAACTCGCTGCTCAGCCAGTGCGAGGCGCAGCGGCCCGGGGAGGACGCCGTCCTCGACGACGACGACGAGGATGACCCCGTCACGGTGGCCCCGGACCCGGAGGCCGACAGCGAGCCGTCGGGCGTGGCCAGCGAGTCGGGCAGCACGGCGTCCATCCAGACGCTGGTGCAGAACGCGGAGGCCACGGAGACGACGGGCTCCACGTCATCGTCGCCGTCCTCGGCCGCCGTGCACATCCGCCGCTCCTCCAGTGTGCCGTGCAAGGGCAACAACCGCGACTCGTCCAGCTCCAACGACTCGGGTGTGTCCATCGGCTCGCTGCACCGGCACCGCGGCGGCGACTTCACCGACTTCGAGCTGCCGCTCACCACGGCCGTGTCCGCCAACTGGCGCGCGCAGCCTGCGCAGCGCCTCGGCGCCTGCCACCACGCGTCGCTGCAGCGCCGCTCCAAGTCGTCGGACCCGCTCAAGGAGATCACCTTCCAGTTCCACCGCATGAGCGTGCACCCCAAGTCGTCGTCCGCCGAGGCGGAGGTCCCCGTCTGCCCGGCCAAGAAGGGTAAGTTGATGCCGGCCTTTGCGGTGGCGTGGCGACGCGGAGCTCGCCCAGTGACGGTTGCTTCTTGTCCTCCAGGCCGCGCGAGTCCGGCCAGCGACGGCGTGCTCCCGGTGCCCTACATGGACTGCAACTCCACCAGCTCGGGCACCTCAGACATGTCGGACTACATCGAGACCCTGTCGCTGTCGTCACACTCGTCGTCGGATACCCCTGACTGCTTGAGGTGAGCGTCGAAGCTTGGTCGTGGCTCAACGCCGCACAACGCCCATCGATGGCGCCTTTTCACTGACCAGTCTCTCTCTCCCTCTGCAGGCTTCAGGCCACCACCACGCTGCGGCCTCGCTCAGGCAAGGAGTACCAGAAGATCGACCGGTCGCTCTTGGACCGAGACATCAAGGTGAGTCAGAGTTGGTCTGCGGGACTTCCTGCCGCCTCTTTTTTTTGCAGTGCTGCGGGGATTGTGAGCGACATGAGGACCGGGGAAAAGAGGGAGGGGATGGGTTGAATTCACTCAGCGACGACACAACAGACCCTCGCCGTTCGGCGCGGATATCCGCGTGGCAAGGCAAATGCATGTGCAAGCAGTAATACAAATTGTCGAACTCGTCTGTTTCGCGCCAGACTTTTCCGCCCCGAATCGAATTGCTTATGCAGATCCAAACTCTCGGCTCTCCCGCCGCACCGCTCACGTCCGTGTGAGTGTGTGTGTGTGTGTGTGTGGGTGGGTGTGTGTGTTGGCGCTCCAGCCGTACGTGGCTAAGCCGCCAACTTAGCATTTCGTTGGCAACTTTTCTCCACGCCGCGCTGCGCCCCGTGTTCTTGGGGAGAAACGAAATCAGTCCAATCCGGTCGAAGGGGGCCTCGAAGGCGGCCCCAACTCCTCGGATGCTCGACTTGAAATGTAAATACAGTGCCGTGTCGCCTGGAGGCCCTGGAGGCCCTGGAGGGGTGCCGTTTCTTCGCGTTTGTTTCTCTCGCCACAACGACGAGGCGATGCCGGGGCACGTCGCCAAACCGAACCGTGGTTTTGCCGGGTTTTGCTCATTTTGCGGTGTCTGTTCCTTCGGCAGGTCGGCGGGCGCCTCCTGGGCCAGTCGATCATGGGGCCGGTGCCGGAGAAGAGCGAGTGCGAGTCTCCGTCGCCGGGATACCAAAGCATGGCCGCGTCGCCGTGAACGCGCGAACCAACCCAAAGGTGAGTCCCTCTCTCTCTCCTCTCTCTCTTCTCTCTCTCTCTCTCTCTCTCTCTCTCTCTCTCTCTCCTCTCTCTCTCTCTCTCTCTCTCTCTCTCTCTCTCTCCCCCCACCTCTCCGGCTTCGAACACCCGCATTGCCCCCCCCCTCCTTTTCCACCCGTGCTTCCTCTTTTTCATCCCCTCAAGATCTTTCTTCTTGTTAAAGGCGGTCTGAGAGTCTGAGACGCGGACTTTGTTCCGACGCGTTCCCCCGAACTCCGCGAGGCGCGACGCGCTAACGGCTCAGCCCGCCCCGCCCCGCCCCGCCCGCCCGCCCCGCCCCCCGCCTGCACATCTGCCCCGCTCCCATCAATCTCTCTCCCACTCCGGCGTGCCGCGGCTCCTGTTCCTGTCGCCAGTTCGGCTTGCCCCCTTCGTTCGTGCCTCCACTGCCCCCCGCCGCCCTCGCCCTCCTCGGCGTCCGCGGCTATTTCTGGGCCGGTAATGCGCAGGGCAGGGTCGGCGTGCATCCCCCGGCGGCTCTGTCTCTCTCGCGCCCCCGCGGCACGCCCCGCGAGTGCGAGAGGCTTTAGCCCGCTAAGGAGGTCGGCGCCGCGTGCAGCACCTTGACGTCAGTGCGGGGCGTTTGTCGGGGAACAGACTTCCAGTGGCAGTGCGGGGTGCCCGCCGTGGGGTGGCGCCGAGCGCAAAGCGCCAAACGCCAAGCTCCAATCCACTGCTCCGCGCCGCTCCGCCCCTCGCCGTGTGGGCGCTTCAGCTCTCTGCCACCGCAAGCTGCGCTGGCCCTCTTGCAGGCAGCATTACGGATGCGCTGTCTCTCTGTAGCGCCACTTCCGCACCGCTGGCGGGGGCCAAATCAGCCGTAAGCGGCTTGAGTTCCCTTCTCTCCCGGCTCCGGGGAGTGGGCGGGGCGGGGCGGGGCGGGGCCGGGCTGACTGGTGTCCGGGCGCCTGAGCAGGTGTTCTAGAGCGGCTGCCGGGTCGGTCGGGGGTGGCGCACCGCCGCTTAAAAATACACTCCCCCGCCGGACTCGGACCCAAGCCCCAGCCCTGCCCCCCGTTGGGGCTCCGGAGTGCATGTCAGGGCCCCTTTGCCCCGCCCCTCCTCAATGACCACAACTCCCGGGCGACACGGCCATGGCGACCACGGCCGGCCGGGCCTCGGCCATCGCGACGGCCATCGCCATCGCCACGCACAGACGGCCAAACTGCCCAAGTTTGTCGCCGCTTGCGTTGCCGTGGCGTTGCCACGGCGTGCCCGGCACTTTAACGTCCCCGACGCCCCGCCACGGTCCGGACCCAGGCCGGCCCAGGCCCGCGCGCAGCCACCTGTAAATCATGCAAACGGCCCGATAGGGAGATGCGGGGCGGCAGTGCCGCGGCAGGGCGGTCTCGGTCGGGAAGGGTTGGCGGACGTGGCGGCGGCGCGGCGGACGGACCGACCATTGCCGGCGCCACGGCGGCCCCGGCGTCCGACTGCCGCCACTCACTCGCCGCGCACCGCGGTCGACGCCGTCGACGCCGTCTACGGCAGGCACCTGGCCGACGAGCCTGGCTTGGCGCCGCGACGCGTGGCGCGACCACCATCATCGGGATGCTCATGGTGGGGAAAAAAGGTTCCCGGAGTAGACGGAGTGGGTGGTGGGGTGCAGCGAGTGGCGGGGCACAATGGGGCCTCCCCTGCCTGCGGGGCGAGGCGGTTGACTGGTTGCCCGCGGGGCGTTGCTGGCAGCGGCAGGAGGGTGCTTTGAGCAAGTTGGTGCGGTTGAAAATTTACGGTGCCGACGCGTCAAACGCATTTTGGCGTCTCTTCGCGCCGCGCGCAGCCCGCGCCTAGTGGTGGGGTCGCCCCGCGGGTCGCCCCGGCAGCCGTCTGGTTCCGGAGGGTCGTCTCGTGGCTCTGTCCCTCTCGCACCCCTCATGGACGCCCCACGAGTGCGAGAGAGACAGAGCCACGAGGCCGCCCTTCAGGCAGCTGGCCTCGCCTCCCAGGGAATGACTCGGCGGCCTCGCAGGGGCGGGCAGACTCATTCCACGGGGCGCCCCGCGAGGGCGAGGGGGACGGGGCGGGGCGACGACTGTGCGGCCTGGCTGCCCTGGCTGGGTCGCCGCGATTAGGTCCCAGATTCGCGGGTAAAAGGGCTGCGGCTCACCTGCGTGGTATAAACGCCGCACCCTACACGGTAATTGCGCGCACGAGTCCGCCCCGCCCCGCCGCGCCGCGCCGCGCCCCAGAGGGTGTAGGGCGTATTGCGCGCGGGTTGCCCTTCGGGCCCTTCATCCATCAACACTAACGAGAGCGCCTCGCAGCCTTCGGCCCCACGGAGGGCCTCGTCATTTCCGGAGAGGCGGGGGTGGTGCCCGGACGTCCCCAGGGCCGTCGGCGCCCACTGCTCACCTCTCCACACCTGCCCGTCAAGCGCGCCAGCGCAGCCAGCGCGTGCCTCCCTCCTACACTGCCTCTCGCCACCCTTCCCCTTGCCCTTGGCCTCTTTACCGTCGTTCTGTCGTTCGAAGGTGCTTTTGTGTCATACCTCCGTTGAACGTTTTGGCCGTCGTTGCGCCGTTTTCCCTGGATGAATTCTTTGCTTTAGAATCGTTTTTTCAGGCATCATTGTTTTTGTTGTTTTATTTGCACCATTTCCCCAGGCAGGGTTTTTTGTTTTTGTTGTTTATGACCATTTTCTGACAGTGTGGTGTCGTGTGTTGCAGACTGCTGAACGGGGAGTCGGCCGCCTGACGGGAGTGGATCCCGCTTCCGACCCGCCAACAACTCGTCCAAAAACCCTAATCCAAAAATTTTAATAATTAAAAATTAATTCCTATTGTGTTAAATGTTGTACAAAGTTTGGACGGGGCGGCGAGGGGGCGAACCCAACGCCTTGTGGCGATCTTTGCGCTGCAACGCATTGGGCTCCCCTCCTAGCCTCGAGCTCTGTCGCAAAGCCCAAAGTTTACCTTGTAAATGTGTAACCAGTAATCTATATCTAAATATTATATCTAGTTAATGTTGGCCTGTACCATAATGTTGCAGATAGGTTTAAGGATCTAAATAAATTTACTGTGTTAGCTCTGTAGATGCCGTTTCAAATTTTAGCGTTTAAGATTGAAGCTAGTCCGCTATCTTATAAACCGACTTTCCTCTTGAGCTCACGTGAGCTCCACTGTCCCATGTATAATTAAGATAGTCCATAGCTAATCAGTTTTTCTCCTCTATCCATGCGAAAAAGCCAAACCTTGTTAAAGTTAAAATACACAAGCAAACAAAAAACAAATATGAAAATATTACCTTGTTTGTATCGTTCTGTGTAAATATATTTCTAATAAATTATCATTCAATTTTACACTGACTTTGATTCCTCCAGTCCTGGGCGAACCTCGAAAGTTTACGAGACCAGGGTGACCTCGCTCGCCGCACAGCAGTGTAGGAACTCTCCCGGCCCCGGCAGTGCCCCGCCAGCCAGAAAACATGACATGTCTCCCGCATAATTGGACCTAAGGATTCAGTCGACAGTGCCTCCCCTCTCCCTCCCACTGGGGTCCTCCCCGGCCGGCCTGCCTCTGTCCATCGGGAGGAGCCCTCTCGCCCTGCTCGCCCCGCTCTCGGCCAGCCGCCCGGTCCCACATAATTAGGTCGCCGGCCCGCAGGCCGCCCCCGAACAGCCTCCGTCTCTCTCGCACTCTCCCGTGGGCCGAAGGAGTGCGAGAGAGACGGAGGCAGCTCGCGCCGTAAAACGGTTGCTGGCAGCAGCGCAAGCGGCGCAGAGATTCGGAGCGTCGGCAATGTGCTTCCGAAACACGCCCACTAATTCAAGCGCCGGGAATATGGCACGGCCGCCAGCTCCGTGGAATTGGAGCGAAGCGCCAACCATCGACGCCCCGCCAGCCCCGCCAAACAGATTGATAAACGTACGTGCTAAATTGAATGTTTGGAATGTTTCCGTCTCCCCCTCCACTCACTGAAAAACCAAACGTGGTCTAGACCGCACCAACTGGTGTGGTCAAATGGATGCCATTTTGACCGCATCAGTTGGTGTGGTCTAGACCACGTTTGGGGCGTTTGGTGTGGTCTAGACCACGTAGAAGGAATTAGAAGTCCGACAGACGACCGTTCAATCAGGCCAAATGATGACAAAGAAGAAATTCCTGAAAAACCACTTCAGCGAGACAAATGAAAGATTACGACACCAGGGTATAAAAGAGCCCAGACGCACTGCCAGAGCAGCATTCAGCTCCCCTGGATAGGTGAGTAGTACCTGCACTGTCTGGCCTGCACGGCCGGCACCCCGCAGCGTACATTCGTACATTGGTGCACCCGGCCGCCTGTCTAGCGCAGTTCCTCCGTTTCAGCACCATGAAGTTCCTCATCGTCCTGGCTGCCTTCGTGGCGGTGGCCACTTGCTGGTCCATCCCCTCCGAGGACGAGCTCGCCATCCACTGGCAGAAGTTCAAGGCCGAGCACGGCAAGACCTACGCCCACGAGGTCGAGGAGACCCACCGCATGAAGATCTTCAAGGAGAACGCCATCAAGGTCGCCAAGTACAACGCTCGCTTCGAAGCCGGTGAGGTCACCTTCACCGTCGCCATCAACAAGTTCGCTGCTGCACACCCACGAGGTTGCTGAGAGGCTCAACGGCTACCGTTCCCCCGTGAACAAGCCCGTCCGCGCCCTGCACAACGTGTCCGAGCCCGTGGCCCTCTCCTGGCCCTGGAACACGAACGTCGACTGGAGGAAGAAGGGGTACGTCACCGACATCAAGGACCAGGGCCAGTGCGGCTCCTGCTGGGCTTTCTCCACCGTAAGTATCACAATTTGAACGGCTTGAACGGCGGCGCGCCCCGGACGAACAAGTCTCTCTAACGCCACCTTCCTATCCTTTGCTCTCCAGACCGGCTCCCTCGAGGGTGCTCTCTTCAAGAAGAACAAGAAGCTCGTCTCCCTCTCCGAGCAGAACCTGGTCGACTGCTCCACCGAGAACTACGGCTGCGGTGGTGGTCTGATGGACTACGCTCGCTTAACGGCGGTATCGACACCGAGGACTCCTACCCCTACTCCGGTGTGGACGGTTCCTGCAGCTACTCCAAGGACAACAACGCCGGCACTCTGTCCAGCTTCGTCGACATCAAGCAGTTCTCTGAGGACGACCTCAAGGACGCCGTCAAGAAGGTCGGCCCCGTGTCCGTCGCCATCGACGCCAGCAACTGGTCCTTCCAGATGTACAGCAGCGGCATCTACTACGAGCCCGAGTGCTCCCAGACCTATCTCGACCACGGCGTCCTCGCCGTCGGTTACGGCAGCGACGGAATACTGAACAACAAGGACTACTGGATCGTCAAGAACTCCTGGGGCACCTCCTGGGGTGAGGAGGGTTACATCAAGATGGCCCGCAACCAGAAGAACAACTGTGGCATCGCCTCCGAGGCTAGCTACCCCATTGCCTAAGCACCCGGGTCATTGTTCCGCAAGTGCAACTTGATTGAAGAAAAGACAAATAAAATCTAGGTTTGCAACTTAACATAATGATTTCATTGCCATCTCTTTGAAAGGGTGAGTGTGTGTGTGTGTGTGTGTGAGAGTGTGTGTGAGAGAGAGAGAGAGAGAGAGAGAGAGAGAGAGAGAGAGAGAGAGAGAGAGAGAGAGAGAGGCACTTTCCGGAATCACAGTGGCGTGACGTCACGCGGGGTCCCTTTGACGGGGCCGCGTCTTGGCCCTCTCGCTCTCCCTTCGGAACGCTGCCGCGCTGCCGCTCGCAGTGGAGTCTCGGAGCCGCAGCCAGCCGCAGCCAGCCAGAGAGACGGATGGCTTGTCATCCCCGAGGACTCCTCATGCCGATAGACAAGAGATAACCGTGATGGGCCCCGCCGCGCGGAGCTACTCGAAAGCGATCCCGAACAAGGCTTTCGTCGCTCTGCCTCTCTCGCACTCGTGGGGCGTGCCGCATCCGTGGGAGGGAGACGGAGGGAGAGTCTGCTGGGTCGGTTCTCACCGCGACGACGACCCTTCCCTCTCGCCGGTCCCGCGGCCCGCAAGTTGTGCGTCGGATCAGGAACAAACTAACTGCTCATTTCCTGAAGCAACTTAGGCCGCCCCCATGGCAGTGTGGCAGCGTGGGCCTCCATGTCTGGGTGGAGTCCACGGCCTCGTCCGCAGCCGCGCCCGCCAAAGATTGCGTTCCGGGGCCAGGCCGCCCCCTGGCCGCCCCGCGCAGCAGACGAGAGTCGTTGTCGTCGCTCTGTCTCTCTCGCACCTCAGCGGAACGCCCCTAGAGTGCGAGAGAGACAGAGCGACGACTCTCGGAATCAGTCTACAGCGCCCACCTGTGACTGACGCGGACGTTCACCCCACGCCACTGGCCCCGGGGAAGTCCCCCTCCGGAAAAGAAGCCGTCCAAAAAACAGCCTAGGCTTCTCTAATCTTTTTTTCCAGCTGAAGCTCCTGCTGCCCTCTGTGTACGAAATCGTCGCCACCCGACAGGCCATGTGCACTCGTGCACCGACTCCCACCCCCTCTCCCCCTCTCCCCCTCCGAGCCCCAGGTTGACGGAGCACGCCAGCGACACATGCAGACACACCGGCTCCACCGTGAATGGCGGGGGGTGGAGCGGGGCGGAGCGGGGCGGCGGCTCGGGTTTCGAAACCTGTCCCAGTGCCGTCCCCGGCCGTCCCCACACGGTAACACGGCCCACATGTGAAATCCGTCGTCACTTCCAGACCCGTATTTTTCTCCGACGCCCCCGCCAGCGGACTGTGAGTCGTTTTCGTCGCTCTGTCTCTCTCGCACTCATGGGACTTCCCCTACAGGTGCGACAGAGATGGAGCGACGAAAACGACTTTTGGGCTCCTTGGGCAGCCTTGGCCCGCTTTGTCGCGTCCTCTCAATTTGTGGCGATATTTTCCCCACACCAGCGACGCGCGGAAAACAGAGTGCCACGGCCACGAGAGAGAGGGAGAGATGCAGTCTGCAGAGACGCCACGCACTCGCCCCGCGTTAAAACGCGAGAGCACAGAGGTTTCCGGCCGGCCGGACCGGACGACCGGACACAAACCTCGCCCAGATTTATGGTGTGCCAGCGTGTCCAGGACGCTGCACTGCTGGTGCACTGCAGGACGAGGATCGTGTCTCGGAAGCACAAAGGACCGAAGGACGCGCCGGGATGTGGGGCGGAGCCAGGGTAGCCAGGGCAGAGCGCCGGGCACAGCGAGGCAGCAGAGAGTCCTGCCGAAATGCTAGACACGTTTTGAGCTCCAGACTCGCTGAACAGGACTAGAACCGAACCTGTGACCCAACCAATGGATCCCTCGTTCGGAGAGCAATCCATTGGTGCGGTCACACGTCTGGTTCGAGTCCCATTTAGGTTGGCTCTGGAGCTCAATAAACGCGTCTGGCATTTTGACCACCTCCATCCCACAGTGCGACGGCCACTGTTTTGTGGCGCGCACGTCACTCGTCGTCGTCCTCGAGGACGTCGAGGCCGCCGAGGCCTTGGTGACGAGAATAGGAAGGACGTTGTGGCAGCGCGTCACCGCGTCGCACCGCGAGGACACATTTACCCCTCTTTCCCCTCCCGATCCCGATGCTCGGAGGGGAAACGAAGACGTCAGGCCGCGTCGCGTACCTTTCGAATCAGAGCCCTCAACCGAAGCGTGGCGGCGAAGGGGGGAGGGGGAGGGGGAAGGGGGAGGGGCTGCAAAGAGGAAAAGAGGAAGCAGAAAGGGTTAGGAGAAAAATACAGCGGCGTCCCCTTCCTGACCTAGCCTATAACTTACTCGCCCGCCCGCTCGAGATTTATACCCCGAAGCTCTGTCACCGAATTTGTACAACGCGTGTAACCTAACGTCACATCCTGCCCGCGGCTTGGTGGCGCCAGGCCGCGCCGCGCCACGCCGCACCACGCGAGGCGCCTTCGGCACGCGTCGCGGTGCCGCAGCAGAAGACTGCCTCCGAACAGCGCGTCATCGCTCGTCGTCTCGCTCGCACCTACTCTCAGGCGTCTCCCACACCTCTACCCCGACCGCTCAGCCACCGAACCAGCTTGTCGGCGCAGATGTTGGAACTCCCCTTGAGCTGCCGTTCGAGAAATCTGGTCCCGAAAAAATGGTACTTTGATCGGTCTCGAACCCGGGACCTGCCGCTTCCCACATCATGCTCTTAACCACTGAGCCACCGGTAAGCCATGGAACCCGCCCTGCCTGCGCTGGTACTCAATCTTCTCTGGATATACCTCTTCGAGGAATTGATCGCCGAAAAAATTGAATATACTATCGGTCCCGATCCCTGGACCAGCCGGTTCCCACATCATGCTTTTAATCCACTGAGCTACCGGGAGGCCAGGTTGCCCGCTCT